TTCATTTTACAATTGTTATATAAAATTGTCATGTCCCTATAACATAAACATCCCCATTTATAACATTCACAGTATGAAAAGCTAAGTACATAACGAACCATGACATTCATATACAGGTTTATATAAATATCCTGTACATAACATTCACTATATATCACCACTATATTAATCAGGTACACAGAAAACCTTGGTATTTAATAAATATGATACAAAGTACTTTAATTTAGTAAATTTATTTTATTTCAAAACTATAATTACAAATCTTGCATGCTTTCCAGTGTTCAAAATATATTTATCAACAAGATTAAACAAACTACAAATTATTGAAATATACTAGTACTGTAAAACACTAATTAAGGTTGCTCAATGCAGTTTCCAAAGTGTGGTTCTATCGTCCATGTATTAGCACATGGCAAATTACATATACTGTATTTTAACAAATAGGTCTGTATGCCACATTTTTTAGTTTTTCAACTTTTTCCCCATAGAATAATATCATGTTTACCGGTATCTAATAAGGTCTGTTCAGCAATCGTTATGCGAAATCGAAAATAATTCCCAAAACTTTGGGGAACTGTATTGTGCCACCTTCAAAATCTAATTTATTAATAGTTATATCTTAAATAGCATGCAAAATAGTAAATAGATGCTATTCTGTTCACTGCAATATCTTGCAAAATGCATGGACAGTGCAGACTGAATGTCTTCTGTAAACTGTGGAAGTTCCCCAAAACTAGTTTTGCGTTTGTCAAATCCCATCACACATTACTATGACCTTTGTTTGTCATGTTTTCATATTCAGTTTCGTGCTTGACATGCAATCTCGCAGTGAACGGAAAATGGTCTATTGGCTTGTTAGACCAAGAAAAAAAATTGAGTTTCTGTCAAATTGTTTTCAAGAAACAATGAGTATCTTAATTATCACAAAACATGTGCTTTTATTATGATTTGACGTGAAAAAGGATCTTTTTGTTCATTTTCTCCGAAAAAAAAAAAAAAAAAAAAAAAAAACATAAAAAGCTGCAACGCACACATGCACGACTGAGTGCACAGGATTGAATCTAAAAAAACATTGTTATAAATACAGATTGATTATATATGTGTAGTGGCAAAACATTATATATTTAATTACCATATTTTGTATGCAGCATGTACCTGCAGAACAAATTGACCAAATCAAATTTCTGTCCTTAATATACTGTAAAACATGTCTTTTTCGCAAGCATTTAGCGAGAGAACTGATTCGCTAATTCAAGATGTCGCTAATGACTTTATTATAAATTCAAAATGGCCGCCAAACAAAGAAATCAACAATGACAAGAGAGATTCGCTAAATCAACATTTCGCTATTACGTCATTTTACCACAATTTGCTAAAATTGCATGCCGCTTTTTCAACATGTTTTACAGTCGCACCCAACGCAAGTGTAGGTCATAAACATTTTCAATATTTTTTTTTTTTAACATGCTGCCAGAAAGTAGTGATTACTACATAGAGTAGAATCTATTCCCTTCTACCTATGTCTGTATCTATGTATATTCATGCTCTACTATAGGCTGGCTTCAGGACAAAGTACATATATAGGGGTGCAACAAATTCTATACCAGTAATATCACCAGGTACACTCTCTGTTTCACCGCATGTGCCAATGTACAGAGGTTCACAAAATGTATGTTTCAGTCTGTGTATTGAGGCCAAACAATTGAACCAGCGAACATATGCTAACCCCTTAAACTCCATAAAACATTATATAGAAAACTGAATTCTCAAACTACTACTTATAATTCATATTTACATGTAATTTAATACTAGGATGAAATGAAAAACAATATTATGAACTGTACTACTAGTAAGTATCTTTATACTTAATTCTTAAATGAAATTAAATAATATTTTCTTTTGCTATGTTGAATATATAAATGATGAGATAATATTTTTTTTTATTTGATTTTGAACCCAATACCACTTAAATTACTCCCATCCCGAAATATTTCAGAGCTGATCACATTTTTAAAACTTTTTGTTCATATGGATTGTCAGATATTTATATGCCATTTAAAAAATCCTTGAACTCTATTTGAAGCGATTAAAAAAACAATCTGCATAAACATATGTATACGTGGGATTATGTATATCACCACTTCTTGAGAAGTATGTATGACCTCATCACTACTTAAAGAAGTATTATGACATCACTTCTTGAGAAGTATGTATGACATCATCACTTTATGAGAAGTATGTATGACATCATCATGAACAATACACATTACATATCAGTTCATGAGTACCCAGGAACAACATCACACTTTTGAATAAGATGAATGACATCATGAGTACTAAAGTATGACATCATCAATTTATGTGCTGAATTGCATGACATCATCAACATATTTGACAATTGAAACATAACCATGAAGGCTATACAAATTACTACATGGATGGACTTGACATTTACTCTCAGAAGAAAGTCCTACTATTACATTTTTATAATCATACTAGGACAGTGAAATGCAAAATTTCTATTCTATCACATTTTGCACAAAATCACACGTTAGTTGCCAAAGCACCAAGGGGCAACTGCGGTCCGTAAAAGTCATCATGACGTGACCCCATAGATGCCCGTGACGGTGGTCGGTAATCTTTTCGAATCGGTTCATCGATGTAACCATTTGGTTCAAGTGGAGGATAATCGTAATTTCTTGGTATATAATCAATATCCGTGTAATCCATTGGTGGTCTTCTATCATAGGGGTTTTCATAGCCATTAGGAATCTAAAGATAAACATATACAATAATACAATTTCATAAGGTTTTACATTGACAGGCCTTGAAAATATTACAAACTATTTTTAGATTAACTGCATTCTTCGAGGTTGAACTGTGCAGCTCCTAACTGGTGTAAAGCAGACACTTTTGTATATCATTTATTTTTAATGGGTGAAAATCATGATGCATCATACAGGGCATTATTCATAAACATCTAGTCAGTATTCAGATAATGCATGCTAATGCAGACATTACCTATATATTGAATTACACCAAGGCATAATCCATAAAATGAATCACACCAAGGCATTATCCAGAAATTGAATCACACTAAGGCGTAATCCAGATACTGAATAGCATCAAGGTATTATCCAGAAATTGAATCACACTAAGGCGTAATCTAGATATTGTATAACATCAATGTATTATCCAGATAGTGAAACACAACAGGGCAATATCCAGAAACTAAACAACATCATAGTATTATCCAGATATTGAATCACACCAGGGCATTATCCAGATATTGAATCACACCAGGGCATTATCCAGATACTGAATAGCATCAAGGTATTATCCAGATAGTGAAACACAACATCTAGAAACTGAATAACAGATATTGAATCACACCAAAGCATTATCCAAATCCTGTATCACATCAGGGTAATATCCAGATATTGAATCACACCAGGGTATTATCCAGATACTGAATCACATCAGGGTATTATCCAGATACTGAATCACATCAGGGTATTATCCAGATATGAATTACATCAGGGTATTATCCAGATACTGAATCACATCAAGGTATTATTCAGATATTGAATCACACCAGGGCATTATCCAGATACTGAATCACATCAAGGTATTATCCAGATATTGAATCACACCAGGGCATTATCTAGATACTGAATCACATCAAAGTATTATCCAGATATTGTATCACATAAAGTATTTCTTGAACACAGGTGTTTTGATCCACCAATCCATTATTAAACACATCCTTACCTTATAATCCTGTGGTAGATTATCTAGATATGGTTCTCCTGACTGGGAGGATTCAGGTGATACACGGTCATGTGGTTGACTTGATCCATAGAAATTATCAGGTGAATCACTGTAGGGTTTTTTATGCAATGTAACATAGTCATCTGGGTAAAATGGTTCATGTACATCATAGTTTTGTTCTGACGGTGTTATTTCAACTTTCAACCCCTTCTTGTGTAATTCTCTCTCTGAAAACAAATAAATTATTCTTATTTTCTGTGATGTGCTTTAGGTATTAAATAAAATGGTGAACACTTTAAAAGCACTATATATTGTATATTGTTTCCAGCAAAATGTTGCCACATTATTTTGCACATTTTTTTAGGAATTTTTCCACAATTTTTTTAATTATTTTTGGACTAAATTTGTCATTACATTGTACCTACAAGTTGATCAATATTTTTTGTAAAAACCTGCTAAAAATTGTGCAGTTTTGATTTGTGAAAGTAAACAAAAGTTGACTTTTATGTTGAGAGGTTCAATAAATACTTACGTTGTTTTCTAGCTTTACATCTATTGAGTAATACAATAATAATTGCTGTAATGAGGATTAGTACAGCGCCACCAATCAAACCACCAATAATGATCATCAATGGCATGGGGTCTAAAAACAAAACAAGAAAGTATTTTTAATTTTCTTTATATTAGAAGACGACTTTGATTCAATAAATCAATTAATAGGATGAAATATAAGACAGTACATTTCCAGAGTACATGGAATTTTAGGACACCTAATCATACAATATTTCCTGTATCAATCTAAACTTTAAAATGAGAATATTGAAAGCAGAATTGTAGCTGAAAGAAAGCCAAATATGAATGAACCAATGCTCTATGAGATCTAGACTGTCAGCCTCAGTTATGAATTGTATAAGCGATAAGTAGATTTGTGGTTTTGATCAGAGAGGGATTGGTGAGTGGAGCAAATATGCTAATTTTGTAGACAGAGTTGTATGTATGGGCTGTCATGATGAATTGCAACAAAAATCCTTCTTAAAATTGGCTAATTAATAAGCAGATTAGGCCATCAATATGCACAGATTTCAACCAAAAACTGTTCATGTCTGCGCATTATTCCAGAGCATGTATGTACAAAGTTTCATTAAAATCTGATAATTGGTTATTTAGATATCAGTGGAACACACACACACACACACACACACATGCCCCCACAAACACTAGATCGTACATCAGTAAAACTTGCCAACAACTGACATAACTGATGCAATCAAATCGAACAGAACCTTTGAATCAAACTAAATTCTAGCAAAATATATGAATTGTGCAAATTTTTTGAGCAACATGAGAACAGAAAATTTCACAGTGATACAAGGAGATTAACTAGCTATACAAGTAGAAAACCCAATAATATATACTATGGAATATAAATAAATAACGAGCCAACAAGCCATGCATGGCACAGTCCCAGTAAGTTAGCGAATTTAAGATATATAGTTTTGTTTATAGTAATATAGCTGGAATATAACCATGTCAGGAATATTATTATGATGATTGTTTAACATTAAAATGATTGACATATATATCTGATCGTCAAACAAGTACTTGTTCATATTGAGAGATATTGCTCTGGAACAGCATTAATTAAAACAAAATCAGCCATTTTAAATACATGTATAACATAATCAGTCAAAGCATATCAGAGAACCACAATCATTAAAACAAAATGGCCACCAGTCAGCCATTTTGAATCCGATCTGAAAAATAAAAGATGTGCATCAGGAACCCGTAATGTCTAATGTATGTTATAAGTTTGAACAAAATCCATCCAGAAATGCTTGATACTGTGGAATACCGGTACTTTATTTTCGCTTGGAATTAATTTTCGCTATTTTCGCTGAAAGAATGAAAATAAAATCCAGTGAATATACCATTTTTCCTATATTTTACATTCAACTCGTCATAAATCAGTGAAAATAAATTCCATACAAAACACCCAAAAAGTCTTTTCAGCGAAAATTTATTCCAGCTAAAATAAAGTATTTTACAGTATTTGATGATTTTTTAGCACAAAAATGGCCACCATTCAGCCATTTTGAATAAGATCTGCGTTCGAAGGGGGACTAATAAAAATAGGTTAACATGAAACAAAATTTAGTGAATTTAACTATGTAAATGATCACATACAAACAAGAGAGACTATACACACAGGAGTTTTTTTGGTACACTCATGATAAGTTCTTTAATATGCAAATTATTTTGCAAACAAAACAAACTAAATGTAAACTTTCTCCTGATGGGAGATTTCAAACTACATTAAAAGAAAAATGTCTATAATACACTACTATAAAAACAAAAGCATGAAAATAATTGGGCAAGAAATATATTGTACAAGTGACCCTGTGGTCAGTAGAGCTCTGCTAGTTGATAAGTGCAAAATGTGACATGTGATCTTGAGATGACCCTGTCCTGGGGCTTTGAGATGACCCTGACCCGGCCTTAAAGATTTTGGGGAGGGGTGTTAGTCCTTTCCATGTCAACATCATCCATGCCAAATTTCTAAGCAATCTGACAAACGGTTGTGGAAAAAATCATTTTTAACCATAAATGAAAAAAATATTCCCAAAAAATAGAGGTGTGAAATCTTGAAATGAACAAATCTGTCAGAGGACAATCCCAGGTATGTATGGTATGAATAGCAAGGCAATCCAGCTGACAGTTTTTGTGAAGAAGTCGTTTGAATGAAAAAAGTTGATGGACGATGTACGGACGACGACAAGTGTGGTCAACCCACAACGGCAGTGTCAAAGACAATTGTTAAAACAAAGGAAAAGATTGGGCTGGCTAAGCTGAATGGATTGAGACACATCTGTGAGATTTAAACTTGCATCAATATTGATACTACCCAAAAATCAGAAAACAAAAGTTATTTCAGCGATAATTAATTCTAGCTATAAAGTACTTTACAGTAGACTGATGGATAAATAGGCTGGCTGTGCTTTGCATCATTTCTAAGGGACGGCGTCAAAAGATCGATGCCGGATAAAAAACTTAATTCCTTTAGTTTTTTTCAAAACCCCCCAACCTCCCACTGAAACTTAATTGATAAATATTGGTCATGGCGTCAGACTACATTCACCATTAAATACAAATTCAGTGATAATCGAACAGTAGTATGGCATAGAAGTTGGTTGTCGGGTGGGTGTCAAAAGACTTTACAAAAGCACCTCATTTGACGCACATATTTACTCTTGGACCAAACCATTTTCTCGTCTTGGATGTGGTTTTTTTCATTTTCTGTTATTTCTGTCTATGATTGGATAGAAAAAAAATGAGCTACAAATACTCCAAGATTTTTTTGACTTCATTAAAAAATAAAATCTTTTTTGTAGGATGGAAACTTTTTGAGGTCAAAACCCCCCACCCCCAAAACTAAAGCAAATAAGTTTTTTATCCGACATCGATCTTTTGACGTCTTCCCTAACCTATTTGTATATACACTTATTGTATCTTGGTTTTGCTCTTACTTGCTTTATCTTACATTGACTTTTAACAAATGTGGTACACCTACATGTCATTGGAGAACAAGCAGATTCTTTTTCTTAACAGTACCATACTGGACCGCGTTAGCGCCCATACCCAGGCAAGGGCCCACCCCCCACTTTTGCGCAATTTGTATATTCGGGGTCACATTCGGCAAAGTGCCCACCCCTTCAAAATGCAACTAATTTTCTGATTTTCATCGAGAGTTTGCATACGATCCAACACATTCGTCAGTGGAGATAATGAGAATTTTGACTTCGACTGTGTTCCAACAGACTCTAAAGTTTTTAATTTCGTAAATTTTGGTGGTACGTAATTAATACTGTAATAAAATGTGCATAATTTTTGTGATCATTTCTGTTTCTTCATTGTAAAAATCAATGGCGACGCAGCTAATTACGTAATTTGATTTTCCCTCAAAGACGAAATTACCCCCTCAATCTGTCACATGATGATCAAAATTTTCATTTGCACTCTTTTTCGAGGGGGGTGCTCGGGTAAACGCCCACTCTTAAAAAATCATGATTTTCTAAGCTGAGGCCCCTGGGCGCTAGCGCGGTCGAGTACGGTAAGTCACAATGAAATGTGTGATTGGGATTTGATTTGTGATGAAAAATTAGCACATTTCACATATAAGAGAATGTATGCTGATATGCATAAGTATGCTCAAGATGGAATACCATATTTGCATTAGTAGTAGTGCATGCACTAATGTACATAACAGAATTGTTTCTATACTCAAAATAAGTGATATTTCAGTACAGAAATTCTATTTTGGGTTTAAGTGCACTTCTAATAGAGTAAATGTGGTATTAGAAGTGCAACTCCCATATTTAATGCACAATATGCCAAAATTTCTAGTACTAGTTTAACACTTGCAATTTGTCATTTCAGGAGTGTCTTAGATGTTGATATTAAGAAGGTGGTTCTTCTGTGTTGTTTTCTGTTTATTTCTGTGTCTTCTTTTTTGATGGTTATTTTCATCCTCTTAAGTTGTTCGGGGTCTTTCCGAAGCTCTTAAAAATTGTTGCTCATCATACGTTATGCATACCCGGTAATGCAATGCAGGATGGTCAAGAACTCAACAAAGGTTATAATGAGTAGTTGAAATGTGTCAGTAGTTGAGGCTACTGAAGTTATAGGTTGAATTGCGTCTTTGTTGATGCCTGGTGTTGTATATACATCTGGAATATACAAAAAATGTATAAATGTATCAGATGCTAAAATTATCACAAGATGCGTTCCAGTTTCACTTTGAATGCAAAATAAGTAATATATGGTAATGCAAACTTCAAATGCATGTACGGTATAAAAATATTCAAATTAACATATTGAAATTGTGATTTATACACAATGCAGCGCTACATTATAATTTTGCTTATTGTATAGGTATATTACCATTGGTTGTAAATTCTCTTAAACTGTATGCTGTTACCACATTGATATTGAAGAGAAGGCTTTGCATGGTGTTCAGGACTTTTCTTTGGTTGATTAGAATGGTTGCTAGTGAACTGTTCGTATAAGTGAATATTGAACTTGTGCTTGTTTGTGTGACTTCTTGTAGAGAACATCAGAATACTCATGGAGTATCACGCAGTGATTGAATCATGCATCTTGTAATCTATGCTATGCATCAGAGATGAATGTCAAATGATTCTTGCAAGTAACTGTTACTCAATTCAGATAATTATGTTCAGTAGATTATGTAATAATAACAATAATAATAATAATAATGGATGGCAGTCAATGGTAATTATCAGGTTTACTGATACACACCAAGGACTTTACCAGTTGGTCAGAGTTTGAACCCTGTAAGTAAGTCTTCATTCATGGCTATGTTTTTGTACACATATGACATACTATTTTGAACTTTGATGAGCTTTGATGATGATGTTGGCCTGAATTAAGGGTCAAAATATCTTGGGGGAAATGCAAGAACGTTTGGGAAAAGGTCTGGAAAAGTCTTGGAAATCATTTGGCTCTTGGTGCTATGGACCCTGATTAAGACCAGTCATGGATTCTTGGGTAAGTACCCAAGATCTTAACACTACCTATGGTCCCCTTGCAATGAACTTATGGAAAGAACTGTTTACAACATTTGAATTGAAAGATATTATGAGACAAAAGGACGATAAGGATGTCGCTCAGTTACTTAACTAACTGCATGAAGGGAAGCACAACAGAAATGACATTGCTGTACTACAGAGTAGAATTGTACAGGCATAGAAACTCTGCCATATGGTGAATCTGCTCTTCATATATTTTGTGAAAATAAATTGCTGAATATCTACAATTTATTAGCGTATAATAATCTGACTGGCATAAAAACTGATGTATATGTCTCTGACAGTATAGTTGGAGTGATGCCTATAATTGTTAAACAGCAAACTATAAATTATGCTGCTACAGTACACTAAAAACTACCAAAGACAATGGTATTGTTTTATCAACTAACAGTTGGAACTAATCAACGAGTAGAGCTATGAATTAACCTTTGTGTGCAAGATGGATTGGTTAATAGTACTCTAGAAATAATAAAGTTGATTGATGGTCCAAACTTACAGCAAGTCACCGTATTATGGATTTAGCTCAACGATGATGATGTTGGTAGAAACTTGCACCATGAAAAACGTCATTTAATGCACATGAATATTTTTGAATGTAATAGTAAAAGAAGGAAAGTCAGTATTACAAATCAAGAGAATGCTCTTTAGAATGAACGAATTGTGAATAAAATCACCTTAATGAAATTGCAAATCAAGTCCTCAAAATAACACAGTTAGTTGAATTAAAGATGAACAGTGTCTAAAATTCTTATTAAAATTTACATTAAACCAACTCATGACTGTTTGTCTACATCAATTGCTTGATTTTTTCCTCCTGTGTTTCAACGTCCTTCTGGATGGTGAATTGTTTCCTCCCTTTTCCGGGCAGCAGATTTCTGGAAACTCACAGACTTTGCAATAAGAGCATGCACATTCTTCAAGTTTGTCCTCTTTTCAGCCTGTTCTACCATTTTGTTTGCAGAATCCACACGAGGCTGAATGTCACTTTCCAGAAGACGTTTCTTTGTCTTCAGACCATCTAGACTCTGAGCTTTCTTTTTTCAGCTTTTGTACTTGAATTTGTACCTTTGTACTTGTTTTCTCTCCTCTGCAATCCAATCACAATCACTGTATCTAAATTTGTATTTGCCTACGGGCCTATTAATAATAATAACAAAATATGAATTTGAATTTATTAAAAACATCACATGCAGTAGGCTAAAAGATAAAACACTAGGCCCAATGCACATGACGTACACATACTACAGTACATCAGCACATACAAATGCACTGCAGCTTCAGCACCAGGCGCTACACTAGCTACTGGTATTTTTTTTCAAACCCAAAATATTATCAGACACAATGGCATGAATGAAAAAATATAGACTGACTCACGGTTTCGAACTTGCAGAAGCAGAACTACTAGGTCGGTGGTTCGTGAATAACTTTGTAGAGCCACGAATGGCCTTCATATTTTCCTCATGTTTCGTCGGCTTATCGTTTTGTTGTTTCCCCATGCCACAGTGACTGTGCAAGACACAGACTTCCATCGATCCAAGATTAATTTTCTTCTTGCACAAAATACATCTCGCTTCATACTCGTTGTCCCCTTCTCCTAGCCATTCTTTGAAATTGGGGTCATCAAACCACTTTGCTTGAAAACGGCATTCACCCATCATTGTGAGCGTTTATTGTCCTCTCGACATGAAGTAGCTGGGGGCCGCCATTTGCAATAGAACTTCAGAAAATCACTCACTCTGGAATTTTCGGCATAGATTGGGTGCCGGCGCATAAATTATCGTGACAGTGACCACCACATGGTAGAAGGACGGGTGCGGGGATAGCAATCACTGCCGACATTTGTCGGAACTGGGGTAGAAAACACTTTATAAAAACAGACTATGCAGAGAAAACAAGCCTTTCTAAAATGAATTAATAACTATGAAGAAATTTAAAGACTTATCAAAGATTTTTTTATTTTTCCTGTAATTTAAAGACAACCCAAGGAGTTTTGAGACCTTAAAAAATCCAAAGACTTTCAAAGGATTTTCCCAACGCTGCGGACCCTGTTAATTGCAATTACGCTCACCCCAGCAAAGCTCATATGGTTCTTGAGATATGGTTATATATGGACATATGGTTCTTCACACACCCACCCACACCCACACACAAACATACAGATACGCACACACACACTCCCCACACACACACACATACACACATACATACATACATAAAAATATACAGACACACGAACTGCAAAGATTCCCAATGTGTGCCTCGCACACAGGAGGAAAAACACCACCCTCTTTAAGATTTATTTTCTGTTCACCACTGGAATTTGCAAGAGTTGCAAGATATAACAAATAGCATATTGTTTTATTTCTATGTTCTTACTTTCTTTTTTGAGTGTGATAAGAAACGACTCAACTCCCAAGCTGTTCCACATTGTGCAGTTATAAACTCTGAAATCTACTTTCTTGACTTTCATAATCTTCAGTAAGCTCTTTTTCCCTCCATAGGAATCCACCTAGATGAACATAATCAGAAATCAGAATATCTAATTGCCAAAAGATAATAAAGTGATACAAATATTTCAAAGTAAAAAATGAGATTTAAGCTAATCTCATATGTTTGCATAAGGGCTAGACCCAGTTGCATTCACACACAAGAGGAAACAGTGGTTAGCACAGGTTAAGGAATATTCAAACTTGTTAAGAATATACAAAAATCATTTTAACTATGATTACTCAATACAGTTAGACTCTCACAACCATATATATAAATAAATACCGTAAAACTAATTTTCACTGGGTTTAAATTTCACTGATTTACCATTTCAGGTAAATTCAGTGTGTTTTAAATTCACAGTTTTATCATTTAGTTAATGTGTTCTATGCTAAATTTTACATATTCACTGGGTTTTAATTTAGCACATTTTCCAGTCAGTGAAATAAGCGAAATCAAAACCCAGTGAATAATTAACCCCTTAACAGTAAACTGAATAGCAACATCCATATTCTAACTGTTGTAGCATTGAATTAATTCAGTTTAGGCAGTAAACCATGATGAGATTCATAACAAATCACTAAAAAGCCACAGAGAAGTAATGCAGATGTGGTTGAAATACAAAATTCCTATAAATCATGCCCTCTAGTGATGATGTGTTTCAGTGACATCAAAATGACGTTTATAGACCACTTTCCCAGAAATAGCGAGACTGGGGTGCAAAAAAACATCTGCTTTTGCTACGACGGCAACTACTAACATGTCAGTCTGCTAATATTCAGTAAAATAGAATTTCATTTTGTGATGTTTTTTTTAATAACATTTTTCTTATTTCCCAATAAAGAAAAACAAACAAAGCAACAAACAAACCCAGACTGGTATACGGTAAACTCATCTTGACACGTGTTTCCACCATTTGAAATTTCACAGTCAGACAGTTTGGGCAAAGAATAGCTGCTATAGTTTTTACACCTATATCCATACTGTTACCATTTACTATTATTCTTATCACGTTCTGAGTATTGGGAGACCACTACCAGTATTAACAACGAAATGACAGCAACATTTACTGAGCGATGTTCAGTTAGCAGTGACCAGCGGCATGTCAAAGGTCATTTTTATGATGTTGATTGGTACATCCACATGCAAAATACTGTAAAATACTTTCGTTTGGAATTAATTTTCACTATTTTCGCTGATGGAATGATTCAGTAAAAATAAAATCCAGCGAATATACATTTTGTACCTTTCTTCCTATATTTTACATTCAACTCGTCAAAAATCAGTGAAAATAAATTCCATACAAAACATCCAAAATGTCTTATCAGTGAAAATTAATTCCAACTAAAATACAGTATTATACAGTAAGAAAAAAGAATGTTTACGTTATACCCCAGTACATACAGTATACACGCACATGCAAAATGCTGCATCTTTGACTTCCGGGAAAGTGGTCTATGGGCGACGGAAATATTGTGTAATCATTTGTTTTTAGGAATATGTAAAAAAAATTGTTTTTGATGGATGGACTACAGATCAAAATGATATCAACGCTCTGAGCAACTTTTCTGTCACCCATTTAAGTAATAGGTGGGCATTGACACTAGAGGGCGCAATTTATAAGTAAGGTGCATGTTATTCACATTTGATTGATCTGCTTAATTCACACACTGAATTTCATTCTATGATTACTTCAATTATATTATCAGTCAAATTTCCTAATTGTGACAAATGCTAATAACCTTTTAAATGTCATAATGTAATTTTAAATGTCCCACCAAAACTTTGATGCAAATTAATGAATGTTTTATACATTTTCTATAACATCTTTGTTAATTTTGAACCAAATGGGAAATTTTTCGATTGCTTCTGGTCTTGATCAAAATTTTGGAAATAAAAATATGATTTTGTAGGTACATTCCTAGATAGGTGAAAAGTTATCTTAGCTATTTTAAGTGCTAAGTGCAGTAATTTTGACCTAAAACGAATACTGTACATACATAATGTATTCAAGTCTGCAATGTTTTTAAGTTATTATATGCAAAACTCCTCCTACTGATAATAAAATAATTGTGATCACCATGAAAAATGGTCAAAACGGTTGCTAAGGCAACATATCTTGAAAAATTTTGAAGAGACACTGCACTGCAGGCTGTAGTGTCTAATTATCAAATCAAACTTTCATTCATTTGTAATCACTCAAGGTCACTGTAATTCAGGTGACACTTCTAAATTTGATTTCAGGATTACGGAAAAGTGGGAATGCAACTTTAAGACAAATGTGTGTTATGTAAATGGCATAGCATACTGTGAAATACTTTATTTTAGCTGGAATTAATTTTCGCTGGTGGGTGTTTTGTATGAAATTTATTTTCACTGGTTTTTGATGAGTTGAATGTAAAAATATGGGAATAACGGTATATTCACTGGATTTTATTTTCACTGAATCATTTCTGCAGCGAAAATAGCGAAAATTAATTCTAAGCTAAAATAAAGTATTCTACAGTATGCTATGTTACCATGGTAACTATGATGATAGAAAGACAATTCACCTTTCCACAATAAAACGTTACCATTGCTAGTCACATTGTGCAATTGTGTTCACACATTTTCTATCCTATTTTAAGGTGAAATGTGTGGTACTGTCATGCAAAATAAAATAATGGGAATAACATACTGTTTTGACAGAATATTTTCCATGTGTTCCCTCTTCAATCTCGCCACCATCCCACTGCCATAGGGTCCTATCGGGTTGAGGGCGTGTGTTTGTGAAGCATTCCACTTCAACATTTTTTCCAATGCTTGCATACTGAATTGAATTGCTGGTGATAACAGGAGTACCTAAGATGAAATATGTCAATAGATTAACCTATTCACCAACATTTTTTGCCTAAATTTCTCTGCATTTTTTTTCTTCAATGTTTTTGAAAGAGAACCCCACTCATGGAGCCAACAGACAAAATTTGAGTCAATTTCCCATTTTTATTCAAAAAATTAGGCTATTTTTGTTCCCATCTTTTGAAGGAAAGTGCAGACTATAAACAGGACTATTTTGTGAATTTGTGATGAAAAGAGGGAACTGGTGGTGAAAAGGTTAAGCACCAAATAAAATGTAGTTACTTGCATACCAGAGGAGTGAATGAGGAGCAAGTTTTTTTTTGTTTTTTTAGGAGCTAGACGTAAGGGATTATGAAAAACATCATATGGCCAAAATTGAGATTGCAAAATTAGTTTTTCTTATCAAACTGTACATGCCAGTTTGAAACATATACTTCAGGTGAACTGGAATACAAAATACATAAAATTAAAAGGAATCTTTCTCCTAAATTAATAACACTAAATAGCTTGAGAACCTCACTAAGAAAATGTGACAAAAAAATACTCAGAGGAAACACCGCTTGCGTCTTACTTTTAATATGCAGCGTAGCGAAAGCATTAGCGTCTTCAAATCCAGGTACCTTAGCTGAACACATATATCCACCACTGTCAGAAGACTGGACATCATCTATTCTCAACACTGACATTCGACTCAGCAAGATATTAGAACCCAATCTTTTCCATGTGATGACTGGTTCTGGATTTCCCACAGCTTCACAACTGAATGTAGCAGTGCCTTCAGGGTCTACGATGCTGTCTTCTGGTGGTGATGTTATTCTCGGACCAACTGGCAAGGGGAATAATAGCAACAAGGTATTTATGTCATTCAACAGGCCTTTTTTTTTTTTAAATGGTCAGCTAGAAATAGTACTCATGAACGCAGCAAGGTGAGTGATTAAGAAGCACTCTGAGAGCATTTATGGAGCTTTATTGGTGCTTAGAGCCTATTATGCTAAATACATGTACGTTATCCCAATTTGTGTCATTGTTAATAATAATAATTGTTTATTGCATCTTTAGAAATATACATTTCTTTCAGTATATAGCAATAGAAATATTAATCAATACAGAAAAATAAAATAAAATGACATAGTCCCTGTTTGAATTAGGAGAAATTTATTCATGCCAAAAATAAAGTTACGGACTAAAAGCACAGTCAGTAATTGAGAGTGAATAAATGGCTGGCTAGTATCAACAGAAATTAGATGTATCAAATGTCTTTTCTAAAATCGAAATATAAGGTCGTTCGAACAGGAACAAACATAAATTTACCAGGATTCTGCCTTGTTTGAAATTCTGACGTGACTCAGCTTTGCGAAATCCACACACATTAGTGGAACACTATTCAACAGTGTTAGAAATCAAATAGGAAGTCAAAACACTCATTTGAGTCTGCTGAAACTGATTGAAATTTGAACGCTCACTGTGAATTTCTCAGAATTAACGCAAATTGAGCCATGACCTCCCTAAGAAAATGAGATGATGGTTTAAGGATTGACGCATATGGTTAAAGACCAGATCTATTTTTATTTATTTATTCATACTCAACAGGCAAAAAACCCAGTTACAGATCTGGAAGACCAAGAAAGTTGACACCAATGAAATTAGGTAATCATGCATCCAAGGAAAATCTCTTTGCCTCCAGAGGATGCAAGGATACAATATCCTGACTGTCAGTCTTTAACGTATTCCTACTCCAAGAACACTCCTAAGCCTAATAACATGTGTGTGTTGGTCTGAACTTACAGTGAGCTTGGATCCAACTTACAGCCTCCCAGCTGTTAAGTGGACATGCTATTCACTATACCAAATTCGGGTTTTAATATAAAATAGAGTTATACAAAAGTCTACCGGTACACTGTGAAAGTATTCAAGCATTTCTGTCAATTATTCAGTCAGTTAGTAAGGTGGTTTGCTACTTTGGAAAACATGTGGTGTTCACTTTCTTGACTAGACAGCATAGCATGCAGTATTTTATACTAATTTTCATGTTCTTTTCTTCCATTCTTAGTTACATTTATTCAATGTTTTATTCATGATTTTGGTGGAATGAACTGTATTTCAGTTTTGCTTCGTCCTGAACAATAACATTAGCTTATCATGTTTTTCCTTGTTCTATAATTACTTGTATTTAATGTGCTATTTGTGATATTAGTTGTGTGAAGTATTATTTCTGTTTTTGTTTTACAACCAAAGAATTACTCTCTGTAGATTTTCGTGTTGAATAAAAATATTATTATTATTATAAGGCTGAACATGATTTTTAAATCTAGTGTAAGTATTTAATAATTATCTAATAATTATTTAATAATTATTTCTTGTGTATCTGTCGGGAATAGACATGATGTCTGCATTACAACATGTAACCAGTGTTATCAATACAAAGCCAAAAGGCTTACTTAATCCCCCTATCCTGACATCTGAGTCACGTTTAAGTTTATTTACTATTTCAAGTGTTATCACGTGACCGTACTGTTATTTAATCAGAGATTTCTTAGTGAATAAACCAGGTGTTAATTGACTGATGTCGTCTTGTACATACCTCCTTTATCGCCCACAGTATCTACATTGTATGTAATTTGAAAAAACAAAATAACCTGTTCCTGTGTTCAATGGAAGGTACATCGTTTTGAAATACTGCGCTTTACACTCATTTATTAAGATAATGTAAATTACCGGTAAATCCATCTGAACATATTAAATTACAACAAAATTATTTTTTTTTAGGAAATCCAATTTAAAACTTATTGAATATGTTCATACAGAATATACAAACACTTTGTACAATGCCATAGGATTAATCAACCAAGACTTCAGAAACAAGAAAAGAGAAAAATTTGATTATATAATGCAATCAAGAGATAAGACAATTATATATGCTCTAACTAAATATTTATTTCAATGCAAAAAAACAAACACTGACTAACAATGTCAAAACTTATTATCAAAGTATGTGTGAAAGGACTAATTTCACAATCAAAATACTAGTAATATAGTCTAATGTTGCTATTTTTATTATATATTTCTTACATAATACATTACTATGTTTTCAATTTACATTTCAATTTTTACATTACAATTTTTCATTTCATTTTTTCAACTTCATTGATGTACATAACCAAAAAAATGTAATATTTTCTTTACGATGTCAATAAAGCACTATTCTATTCTATTCTAATGACATGATGTAAATTGTGTGCATATCAATGGTGCAGCCAGGTCTAGATTGAACAAAGTTGCTAAATAATCCTCAGAACCACATTTAATTTCACAATTTTCATATTTTGAACATATTCAATAAGTTTTAAATTGGATTTCCTAAAACAAAATAATTTTGTTGTAATTTAATATGTTCAGATGGATTTAATTTACATATTTCAGTTATCAGCAAAAAAGGGAAACTTAAAACCTTTTTTATAATTAATGCATTTACAGTATTAAAATTATACTCACATTGCACGTTTATTTCTTTAGATGTTTTCCCAGTTCCAATTGAGTTTGTTGCCTTACATGTGACTGATATTCCATTGTATTCTGGTGGCACTGCTATTAATTCCAAGACGTCTCCAGCGACATCAGACATAATATCACCATCCTTTAGCCATTCATATGACATACCCTCTCCGGGGTTAGCTTCTGCTAGACATTTGATTTTAATATCATCGCCTTCCACAGCTACCTCTGGCTCAACGATAATACTAACAATTGGTTTATCTGAAGGAGTAAATAAAAGTAAGTATAAATGCAGTATGTTAAATGCAGGGTGGTGCAATGATGTTGGCACTTCAATACTCACATAGAAATCATTTTTGCTGAATAGGTCAATGAGACAACAAATCTACAAAATTCTGTAATGTTAAGTTTACAGCATTTACAATTCATTTTTTGTTCTAGTGTAAATTATATATTTAATTTTTGATATTATTGTTGTGAGGTATGGGTATATATACCAAATTTGATACAAGTACGACAACTTACAGAATCAGTTCTATTCAACAAGATATGTTCTGCTCTGCTGCCAGCATAGATGACATAATGGAGCTGTTTATATTGCATAATTACTACAGACTATGACTACCACTTATATGACTACCTCCGTGAAATACTTTATTATTGTCATTTTAAAATACTCTATTAAGGTAATTTTAAGCAAAAAGAAATTTCACAAGAACATCTGAATGTGTTATAGCTCCATCTCAAGTTCATTATATAGTTTTCTTTTGTTTTTACTTACAGTACATCCATTGTGATCAAAAGCATTTGTAGGTATGGTGTAAATATGCAAAATGTAACACAAATCAACACACTGTACCCTAGGTCATTTTCTATTACTTGTTCCTCTCATGCATTATAGCCCCATCTTGAGTTCATTACATAAATTCGTTTGTTTTTACTTACATTGTACATCCAACGCAATTACAGCATTAGTGGGTACCTTGATAGCTATATTGATAGCTTGACATGTATATCGTGCATCAATATCTTCTACAGAAGGAGTTATTGGTAAGACACTGATAGCATTCCATAATTTACCTACAGCATCACCTGTAAATGACATAATACATAATAGTAAAACCAGAAATGTCTTGACTTCAGTAATCCCACTGGCATAACTCTCATTACATCAGATGGGTACAACTTTGGCATGTTTCATTCTGTTTTGTAAATTGCAACATGGATGTCATTTGCACCAGACAGACAACAACTAACAGCAATCCTCCAAAAGGACTACCCATGAGAACAAGGGAGTTTTTATTTTCATAATCAGATAATAATTTGCATCAAATCTGAGTAAAAATAGTGTTCATCACATTGATCAAATTGGAAGTGGTTACCAAACGACTGCATTTACTGTAAGTATCTACTGATCTTCCACCATATAGACACTAGTGTATACTTTTTTGTGATATATTCAGGTATCTGTCACCATATAGACACTAGTATATACTCTTATGATATACCGTTAAAGTCCTATTATAAACCGCGGTTTATATTACAATGTATCAATTTAAAAATTGGGATCAAAAGCTCAAGTTCGGGGTGCGGTTTCTATTACGTACATATTGCAATCACTAAATGGGCGTGGTCATTTTTTGTCCACAACACATGCACAAAACAAACAATACACCGTACAATCTCTTGAATAGGCGTCAGGGAAGAGTGAAAGGCCTTATTTTGGTTCTAAAATAGGCGTTAC